GGCCGGATCTCAGCTCACTGCAAGCTCCGTCTCCCAGGTTTACGCCATTCTCCTGCCTCAGCCTCCCGAGTAGCTGGGACTACAGGCACCCGCCATCTTTTTTTCTTATCTGTATTTTTCCACTTGATTTTTTTTTTACAAACAGGAATTATTGATTTTTTTTTCTTGTGACAGGGTCTCACTCTGTCACCCAGGCTGGAGTGCAGTGTCACGATCACAGCTCACTGCAGCCTCAACCCCCTACCTGGGCTCAAGTGATCCTCCCACCTCAGCTTCCTGAGTAGGTGGGACTACAGGCACGCACCACCATGCCCAGCTAATTTTTAATTTTTTTTAAGAGACTAGGGTCTCACTTCATTGCCCAGGCTGGTTTTGAGTTCCTGAACTCAAGCATTCCTCCCATCGTGGCCTCCCAAAGTGCAGGGATTATAGGCACGAGCCACTGTGCTCGGACCATAACAATTTTTTTTTAAACTGTAAGAAATTGTCTGAATGCCTTGCTCTTCTTTGACTCTAAAAGTAAACTGTTTAAAGTCAAATAGACTTGAAAAAATTAAAATTCCCACACGGAGTGAGGACAATTTTAGATCTGAGATGCTCAAAGGAGAGGCTTTAGCTGCCTGAGCCTCTGTAGCCACCAGTGAGTCTAATTTCCCAGTGCTCTGAGAAACTGTGACAGAGAATCATTACCCTTGAAATGGGTTTGTGTAATATAAAAAATCAGGGTCTCTTCTCGACTTAGTGAGTGTGTTAACATTCGTGGGAGTTCCCATGCATGCTCTGAGGGAGAGTCCTGTGACATCGTGTCTGCGTTGTATTGAACTCAATCACTTGTAGAAAATGTGTAAGGTAATAGGGATATTACACGGGGTGATATTATGGAAAATCCTAATTGGTACCAAAGTAATTCTTACTAGAGTGGACTATAAAACCTTCAGTGCCATTCTAACTAATCACCCCTGTGGCATTCTGAGCAAATGCAGGTTAATGGTGACGATCTTAATTTTTGTATTAATTAAATTAAGTGTGTAATCTGACAGTGTTAGCCCATCATCAGCGTTCATCATGCTGATAATAAATGGCTTGAATACTCAGCTCCTTTGACTTCACCAGAGCCCTGAACTCTTCTTCCATCCACCATTCATGACCTAAGAGAGATCTCCAAGTGACCCATCAGAGCCCAGAAATGACAAATAATGAAGCCATAAGCCAGAGATTGGGGTGAACAAAAAGGCAGAGTGGGTTCATGGGCCTAGGAGAAGCCTCCAAACTCAGAGGCTACAACTGCTCAACCTCTGTTCTCTGCTTCTACACCTTGAGTTCCTCTTTAGCCAATGATTTCTTATAATACTTAAAAGTAGAAGGGAGAAAGTTCAGAAAAGTGAATATGAAAATGGGAGATACAAATATAAAAACAGAAGAATGTCTTACATAAATATACCTTAGATGAAAACATAAGACATGAAAGTGGCCAGGTGCGGTGGCTCATGCCTCTAATCCCAGAACTTTGGGAGGATGAGGCAAGTGGATCCCAAGGTCAGGAGTTCAAGACCAGCCTGGCCAACAAGGTGAAGCCCTGTCTCTATTAAAGATACAAAAAATTAGCCAGGGGTGGTGGCGCGCACCTGTAATCCCAGCTACTCAGGAAGCTGAGGCAGGAGAATCGCCTGAACCCGGGAAGCAGAGGTTACAGTGAGCCGAGATCACACCATTGCCCTCCAGCCTTGGCGACAGGGGGAGACTCCGTCTTAAAAAAAAAAAAAAAAAAAAAAGACGTGAAAGTATAAGTGAATGTGAAAATAGAGAACATGTTCAAATAAAATTAAACAACTGATCAAGCTGCTAGATTCTGGCTCCTTGAGTTTAAGGCAGGAAGGGGTCTTAGTCATCACTGTTTTCCCTACACCTTGCACCAGACCTGTCATATGGTAACTTCCATCAATCTTTATCTTACCAAGCCAGGACATTTTTAGACTTCCCTTTCTCAAAGTGTGTTCCCTGGAAGACTGACTCACCAGACCCATTCTAAATTGAAAACTGTGAACAATTAAATTTGAGAAATCCTGCCTTTCACCCTTCCCTCCAGGAGATTTATAATATATAACAGTATTTTGAAGTCAATAAGTCCTTTGGAAAAGAAATACTTTTAAATTGTTTAACCTAACATGGTCTAACTGAATTGTCTAAGCAAACTTATTTGATCACAGAACTCTATCAGCATCCCACAGAGCACAGTTCAGCAATAGACGGCCTCAGATATCTGCTGGCACGCTTACAGCCCCAGGGATCCGATAAAAAGATTAAGATGGAAATAACAATTTCCTGATTCTCCTAAATCCTGGCATAATAGAGATGAAAATCTCCCTTGATTGTGACTAAATCCCTAATAAAAATATAGAATTATAGGGTTTTAGACTGGAGGGGACCTTGGACATCATATGTCTTAACGTCAGCTCTTTGCAGGAATCCACTTTACAGTATCCATGATAGATACATTGTCATCTCTGCCTGGACACCTCTGATAGCCAGGACTCAGCAACTCACCATGCAGTAGATTGCGTTATGATCCAATTTCTTCTTCTGTTGAGTCAAAATCTGCTTTTCTGAGGTTCTAGGTCTCATCTTGGAATAATGAAACAACCCACTTTCTCATATGTCTACATCCCAGTTCTTATGCCCTCAGTTAATATATCAGGAATTTTCAGTCTCTACACTTCAAAGTACAATCAGAATAAATAAGAAAACTCGGCCAGGCGCGGTAGCTCACACCTGTAATCCCAACACTTTGGGAGGCCCACAGGGGAGGATCACGTGAAGTCAGGAGTTCGTGACCAGCCTGGCCAACATGGCAAAACCCCATCTCTACTGAAAATACAAAAATTAGCCAGGCGTGGTGGCGCATTCTTGCAATCCCAGCTACTCAGGGGGCTGAGGCAGGAGAATCACTTGGACCCGGGAAGCAGAGATTGCAGTGAGCCAAGATCACACCACTGCATTCCAGCCTGGGCGACAGAGTGAGACTCTGTCTCTAAATAAAGAAATAAATACATACATAAATAAATAAATAAATAAGAAAAGTGGTTCTTGAATGGCTTCTAAAGGGGGGAAAGGAGAAAATCTTACTACTTGAGTTATAGAAACAAAATAATAGAAATCCCTTAGTTGCAATTCCAAAATCTACTAAGTTCTGAAAACAGAAGTGTTTTTCATAACTTTGGCACACACTTATTAGGTGACAATACATGACTCAAACTGATTTGAAGCTATTTATAGTCTTTATTTATCATGCCGAGTATGGGTACGCATACATTTGACTAAAAAAATACTAATATGCTTGATTACAGAAATAAGAGTGTTTCCTCAGGCCCCACTGGTAATATTACATAACATACGGTATCTGTGCTGTATAACCTTTCCAAAACTGGACAAAGTCTGAATTCTGAAACACATCTAGTCCCAAGGATTTGGGGTGTGCCGCCGTGACTCTATCCTTTCCTCGGTACCTTCTGTGTGCTCAGCGCTTGACCTATATTAGTGTCTTTACTCCTCACAACTCTGAGAGACAAAGAATCATTTCTTTCCCACCTTACAGGTGAGGAAAGTCATCCGGTTTTGCAGACATGTTTCTTTTCTTATTGACTGTTTGATATTTGTAAAGAAATCCATTTTTCCTTCAATTGGTAATATACTAATCAATAACAAAATAATTAAGTCACAGGATGCAATATGGGACACTGGTGCGCACCAGAAGAGTCCTTGTCAGAAAGGGAAGACAGTGAGGTCCATGATGCAGAAGAAGCCCTCAGAGGAAGCCCTCCCTCTGGCCTCCATTGTAAGGTACTTCGATTCACAATGTCCGCAGCTTCCAACTGCTCCTTTCCCACCTAAGCCTTTGGAAACTTGGGTGGGGTTGGGAGAGCCATAGATGCCTTTTGCAGGAAAGAGTATTAGTCTGTGTTAAATTAAATTATGTCAAAGCCTGGATCTAGCCTCTGGGATAGAACTTTCTTACTGCCTGCTGCCCGCCTCTCATATGACTGATTTTGATGAGATTTGAAGATCATCAGCCATCCAAACTTCTATCCCACTGGTTCTTTCACTATACCTGAAATTTCCATATGAGTGTTTGTCTTTTGTACAGGTCAACCTATTAAGCCATTATAAACTTAATTTAACTAATCAAGTGTGCAAGTCAGTCATTTAGCCAGGCCCAAAGGGAACTGAACATGGAACACACCAGGTGTGGTGGGGAATAAGAGGCAAGAAGCATGGGGAAGTTCCAAAGTGTGGACACTTCTGGCGGTGATCTCAGAGGGTATTAACTTCAGGGATGCTTGGGGTCCAGCTTAGTGGCATTGAGCACTGGTGGGAAAAGGCACTAAAAGGGAAAAAGAGGCAGGAGAAAGGAAGCAGGGCACCTCCAAAGTTCAGCATGGTCCACATGAGCTATGTCCGTAGGATCGTGCCTAGACTGTACACTAAACGTGTCCAACCCGCTACCCACAGACCATGTGCAGCCCAGGACAGCTCTAAATGTGGCCCAATTTAAATTTGTAAACTTTGTTAAAATATTGTGAGTTTTTTTATTATTTATTTATTTATTTATTTTTAACTCATCAGCTGTCGTTAGTGTTAGTGTACTTTATATGTGGCCCAAGACAGTTCTTCTTCTGGTGTGTCCCAGGAAAGCCAAAAGATTGGAGACCCCTGCATGTAAACCCTCTTAAAACGGTTGACTATTAATATTTTAGATCATTCGCCAGATAATGTCACTCCTCAGCTGGAGTCCAGGGAGTGGAATGGATGCCCGAGTTACAGAATCAGGGAAACAAAGAAAGAGAACAGGCAATAGCAGGTGTTAAGAGCCCCCAACCTCGGCTACACCAGTGTCCCCTTGGCTGCCTTTGTTTCAGCGGCACTCCTGCACATGACTCCCCTTAGCCAGGAAAGCTCTTCCCCCTTCCCCCTCTTCTCCCACTCTCTGCTAAGTGACCTCAAACCCATCCCTGCCTTCAACATCAATGTCACCTCCCGGAGAGGCCTGACCTAGCCACACCCCGCCACTCTGAATTGCATTCTGCTTATTCAACCTTTTTTCATTGTTCTATTGCTTTTCTCCTTCAGAGCATTCATCACAATTTGGAAGCACAGTTGTTCTCTCTTATCCACGGTTTCAGTTACCCAAGGTCAATCGCAGTCTGAAAATAGGTGAGTACAGTACAGTAAGATATTTTGAAAGAGAGAGACCACATTCACATAACTTTTATGATCACATATTTTTATAATGCTCTATTTGATTAGTAGTTATTGTTGTGAATCACTTACTGTGCCCAATTTACAAACATTATAAGTATGTATATGTAGGAAAAAATATAGTATATATAAGGTTCGGCACTACCTGAGGTGTCAGGCATCCGCTGGGGACCTTGGCACATATCCCCCATGGATAAGGGGGGGACTACTATGTTTATTTATTTATTAGTTTAATGTATGTATATTCCTCCAGAGTATAAATGTTATGAATACCCACTAAGATCCAGTCCTTAACAAATAGCCGTTCAATGAATCATTGTCAGGCACTATGTTCTCTGTTTCAGCAGTGGTAGCCCTTTTAATCTTCATAATAATTATCTGAGCTAAGTTTTACAGATGAAACTTAGGAGGCTTACAACCCAAAGGGGATCATTTTTGTACCCTGAAATGGTGAAGTGCATACTTTGCACAGTTGTGTGTGACAATTCTGCTCAGAAGCCCCTGGTTGTAAACCATTGAGAGGTGGTATTATCTTCAAAGGAAGAGGGTCTCTCCACTCCTCTTCCCACCATTGTGACAACCATGGCTGGAGGGGTTAATAATGAACAGAAAGTCCAATTAGCCTCACCCATCACATCAGTCCTAGAGCTAAATTCTGGTTCTTTGCAAGCCCCAAGAAAAGACTCGCCTGTTTATATATCATGTTAATAATTAATTGATTAGTTAATCAACAAGCTAGTTCCTGTAAGATTGTCCTGTCACTTTTTGTCCCCTCTGCATCCTGGTCAGGGTCAGTGGACCTGTGCTCACGTATGCATTATGTTGATATGAAAGACTGAAGGAGCTGGGTGCGGTGGCTCACGCCTGTAATCCCAGCACTTTGGGAGGCCAAGGTGGGCGGATCACCTGAGATCAGGAGTCCGTGACCAGCCTGGCCAACATGGCAAAACTCCATCTCTACTAAAGATACAAAAACTAGCTGGGTGTGGTGGGGCATGCCTGTAATCCCAGCTACTCGGGAGGCTGAGGCAGGAGAATTGCTTGAATCCAGGAGGTGAAGGTTTCAGTGAGCCGAGATCGCGCCACTGCACTTCAGCCTGGTGACAGACTGAGACTCTGTCAAATAAATAACTAAATAGATAAATAAATAGAAAGACTGAAGGAAGGACCATCTGGAAACATGCGCATGATAAGTGCTTTTTAACACTCTGAAATTTTATGAGGGAGCTGCACATTATGTACCTGTTGAGAATAGTTTTTTGTTTTTTGGGGTTTTTTTTTAAGTACTGTTTAAAGCTGGTTGGGCATTGATTGAAAATGTATAGCAGTACCTGGTTATACCAAGATGATAAGTCAAGGCTCTGCCTTCATGGAGCTCCCAGTCAAGTGCTACAACAAGAGAGACAAGGACGGCTTCTCAGAAGAGGAATTTCAGTGGGACAGGAGCGAGGCTAGGAGGGGAAGCCATGGAAACTATCTCGGGCAGAGGGCAGAGCCTGTGTGGGGACCGGGAGTGTGACTGCAGAGATGGAACAAAAGCAGAAGGCCAGGTTGGAGAAAAAATGTGGTTCCTTTTATCCTGGGTGCTTGTGGAAGGGGCTCCATGCTGTGATATTTTATAAGATACTGCAGAGACACTTGCTATGGAGAATTTGTATCCGAAATGTGGACCAACTTACTTTTCCTGCTGCTTTGGTACTGCAGCTGTCAACTCTAACCCTAAAGTAACTGATTCCTTTGCAAGATGCAGGGCAGAGGCCAGTTTTCAAGAAATGCCAAATATTCCATTCCTATCAGGTTTTAATACTGTCTCTTACTCCCTAGTCTAAGCAGCACTTGGGTAGCCATAAAGCCTTACAGCTCGGACCAGTGTTCCTATTCCCAGTAGCTCATTAGAACCACTTGTGGTGCTTTTTTAAAACACACACGCCCAATCTACTAAAGCTGAACTTAGGTATACCCCGCACTCAGCAATTCCACTCCCAGGTAAACACCCAACAAATGTAAAAATTCACCAAGACATACAAGAATTTCATGGCGGCACTATTTATAATAGCACCACAAGGAACCACCCAAGTGCCCAGCAACAGCTGAATGAGTAAATAAATTGCAGTATATTCAAACAGTGGAATAGCATATAGCACTGAAAAGGAAAGAGCGAATGCAACACATACCATCATGGGCGAACCTTAGCAATACAATGTAGAGCAAACTAAGATCGATGCAAGAGAACACATCCTGCATAATTTCATTTTAGTTTTATACTAAAACTCAGAAAAAATTAACCCATATGTTAGAAATCAACATAGTGGCTATGTCTTGGAAGGATAGTAACGAAAAGGGGACACTGGGGGCCTTCTGGGATTCTGGGTGCTGACTGCATGAGTGTGTTCACTTGGTGAAAAGTCATCGAGCAGTGTACTTATGATTTGTACACTTTTCTGTATAATGTTATATTATTTCATTGAAATATTTTTAAAACTACATCTGCCTAAATTTTACCCCTATATATTTAATTTCAGTCGATCTGGGGTGAGACCCAGTTACCTGTATTTTTAAAAGATTCTCGGGCAGGTACAGTAGCTCATGCCTGCAATCACAGCATTTTGGGAGGCCGAGGTGGAAAGATCATGTGGGCTGAGGAGTTCAAGACCAGCCTGGCCAACATGGTGAAACCCCGACTGTACTAAAAATACAAAAAATTAGCTGGGCATGGTGGCGCACGCCTGTAGTCCCAGCTACTCGGGAGGCTGAGGCAGGAGAACTACTTGAACCTGGGAGGCAGAGGTTGCACGGAGCCAAGATCACGCCACTGCACTCCAGCCTGAGCGACAGAGCAAGACTCAGTCTCAAAAAAAAAAATTCTCAGGTGTTTCCAATGCGCATCCAGGTTCAGGAATCACTGATTAGGATTACCACTGATTTCTATTTCCCGAATTTAATCTCCTTTGTTTGCATATATATATATATGTGTGTGTGTGTGTGTAAGTCGGCCGAGTTGGCCTTTCGCTCTTGTCGCCCAGGCTGGAGTGCAGGGGCGCGATCTCGGCTCACTGCAACCTCCGTCTCCTGGGTTCAAGAGATTCTCCTGCCTCAGCCTCCCAAGTAGCTGGGATTACAGGCACCTGCCACCACACCCGGCTAATTTTTTGTATTTTTAGTAGAGACAGAGTTTCGCCATGTTGGGCAGGCTGGCCTCGAACTTCTGATCTCAGGTGATCTGCCTGCCTTGGCCTCTGAAAGTGCTGGGATTACAGGAGTGAGCCACCACACCCAGCCTGTTTGCATATTAAAAGAGTTTACTCATTGCTTTACTTTTCATTTTTCTGGTTTTTTTTTTTTCTCAAAATAAGAGTAAAATAGCCACTGCAATCATGTGCACCCAGGCATCTCCATGCCACTGAAATGAATGGAGACTGGAAAGGCAGTACTTGCTCAGTGTCAGCACTTGACTTGCAGACGTGTTTGTACTCTGGTACTTCAACAATCCCTAACAAAATTAATTTATTCCGTTAGCCAAACGTTTATTGAACCCCTACAATAATAAGAGCTAATGATTACTAACTTTATGAAGTGCTTCCCTGGGCCGGGCATGATCCTATATCCTTTGCTTATGTTCTGAGGTTAAGTGTGCAGACTCTGGAGCCAGATGACCCTGTTAAAACTCTGGCTTTGCAACTTAGTTGTGTGACTTTGGGAACGTTACTTTGCAACTCTGTGACTCAGTTTCCCCCTCTGTAAATTGGAGATCATAATAATACTGTTTCTTGAAGTTGGGCTGAGGAGCAAATAAAGTTTAGCCACCTACTGTAAGTAAGTGCCACCTACTGTAGCAAGTGCTACATATATATGAGCTATTCATTTTCACAAAAACCCGATGAGATGGCTGCTTAAATAATGCTAATTTTGTACTTGAAGAAAGTAAACTTAGGGAGGTTACATAACTTGTCCAAGGTCATACAGCTGGCAAACAGCAAAATCAGGATTCCAAGCCAGGTTGCCTAATCCCAGCACTGGGATACGTTGCCATCACACCCTTTCCTATGCTGACATATTTCTCTCTGGGTCTGTGTTTTGATAGCCACAGGGATCACATTTCTAAAAAGAAGATTCTGCTGAAGGGATCTTTCAAGAGCCTCAAAAGCGGGACTATTTCATGAGCCAATTCGTAGTGACAAGCCCTGTCCCTGCAAGTGAGAAGGGGAGTGCTTCCCAGTCAAGCTCCATGTGTCAAGGTGGGATGGAATGGGTAAACTTTTTTGCTCCCTGAAGTCAAAAATACCTTTTAAAAATGAGTTTGTCGTGTCTTGTTGCATAATACCAAGCAGTATTTATAGAACGTGGAAATGAATATGAAAACTTGTATTTTGATTCATGGCCTCTTAGAAGTAAGTGGTGCTTTCATTAATAATTCTGACTTGACTTTTTCCTCCCATATTATTGGAATTTTTGAAACTTTACAAACATGTTTCTGACTGGGATTAGGGAATGGAGAGTGGAGAGGTAGGAAGAGGGAGGAAGCACATTCCTAAAGACACTAACATTGCCAATTTCTGAAAAAGCAATTCCATGTACTGGGAGCTCCCATCGTGTAACAGATAGTTTGCGGTATTTGGTCCCTAATACTGTTAATGAGATATGTAAAGATTGCATTTTTCTGGAGTTAATTTTAAATAAAAACCTTCATTAAACAATATCTCTCAGTAAAAATGTAGGTCCTAACAATTAATAGGCAAAACTGTGTACCTAAGATTTTTATTATATTGATTCCAAGATAATTAGGTTGGCAAAAGCATTGTGAATATCTCTCCCCATGTTAATACAAAGTGCTGCTATCATTCCGTTGCTTTTTTAAAAGATGGCTGCATCTTACCATAAAATGTATTTCCAAGTTTTGTCAAGTATTAAGGTGATTGATTTTGTTTCTTTTATTAGGAATTTAGGTTTATCTTACTGTTTTAATAGACTGTTTAAACACAAGCCTGCTTTCACAGGCCTCCTGCTGCCCAAAAGCCTCCTTGTTCAGCACAGAGATTTCTTGCTGATCACATTTTTCCTATTCTTTTCTTTAAGCAAACACTGAAGGCTTTCAGCAGCTGCCCAAGATATCACTTTAAAACCCCTTAAGGCAGTTTGAAAGGCCTCCAAAAAAGCATGACATTCAATCAAAGTTCAGTAAGGAAAGTTTTAATGAATAAACTTAGTAAATTAGAAAGCACTGCGGCAGAGTGATTAACTCTCATTTGGGCATTAGTGTTGAAATTAATTAAAATGTTTAAGCCATAGGAGGCAGGCTACCTCGTCAGGACCTGGCTCTGCCCTCGGAGTCAGTCTGGATCCAGGAGTGATTCATCTTACACAGATGAGAGGGGGATAAAAGGAAAAGAACAGTCAGGACAAATGTGTTTTCAATGGTGCTTAGCAGCAGGAGACCACTGGGACTTCAGAGCAATGCTACTGGAGTGTGACATCATAATACGGTATGTACACTGTGGAGTGGAGTGAAAAGGACTTTGCACTTACATTCTTGCCCTCTCTCCTTTAGATTGGATGCCATGTATATTCATTTCTCTGCCAGGCAGAATGCTGCAGTCTGCTGTCTTCAAGACCACTCACAAATGAGCTCTGTTTCCCCGACTCTTTTTAAACCTGCTTCCCACCGTTAAAGTTCATGCGGTGACGTGAAGAGGTAGGCTTGGTGTCCTGGTGGATTTCCCTAAGATCAACTCCACAGAATGTATAAAAATATAATTGCTTCAAACAGACTCTCAGACACACAACAATGGATTCATTGTTAAATTCCCTTGACAATATGCAGGGCAGAAACCATCTTTTCAAGAAACCCAAAATATTCCATTCCCATTAGGTTTTAAAATATCTTGTAAGCTCGATTTCTTTCCAGAACTATGGGTCTGTGGATCTTCTTATAGAAACCCATTACCATGTGGCTGTTTAACAAATCCGTGCCTGCTTAAAATTATAAATGACAGCCCATTTCATAAAGAGAAAAGTCCTCCATGACAGGAAAACAATCTCCGTTGGTTCTCCTTGGATAACAAATGGACTTGCATCAGGCCCGGTACCGTAGCTGTTTCTAAAACAGTGTGGCGAAGGACTGCCATTCCTATTTCAGGGGTCCTAATTAAGGAGCTCGCAAAAATGAGTGACCACCTGCAAGTCTGAATTATTACCATCAGGAGAAAATTATCATGATTTGCTACAGATCTACATTCATAACTTTAAAACTGTCCATCTTCCTTATTTTTTGCTCTATGGATTTCTTGTCAGCCACAATGTCAGAGGTCACTGCCAGAGTGTCCCTTTGGTACCCATTAACTATAACCAGCAAACTTGTTCACTATTGATCCACTATGTCTAAGTATCTATTATGGTGGATATAAAAGGTGGCTTCACATCTTTCTAAACAGATAATTCATAAAGGCCAAGGGGTCATGGCTTGTGATATATTATTCTTTCACTGTATTTGTGACTGAATGGACAAAGAGAGAGAGGATGCAAAAGGGGTGCCAAGGGTCATGAGTGTTAGACTAGAGAGGTAGAAAGTTGTGTGTCAATTGGACACATTAACATCCATATAAATAATAAAAGGCATTAATATTTGTTCACGACCTCATTATCGATTCATTCTACTCAGAAGCAGAGGTTCCTAGAGCGAATGAAGACAGAGTTGATTTTTTACCACCAAAGTTCAGTCGAGGTTGAACTCTAGACTGGAAGTTGACTAGAGACAGTAAAATATATTCCAGTAGGCATGTATTGGGTCCTGGGATTAATACATTTTGCAAGCAGTGCATCATCCAGGGCAAAGCAACTGTTTGGGGCACAGAAGCCTCACATAGAAAGTGTTAAGGGTCTGCAGGGCCCTGATGGGCTCAGCACATCACCACGTTCCTTTGGGACTGTTTGATTCATCATGTTATTTAACCTCCACTGGTTCGTATTGAACATTCAGCAATACACTACAGAGGCCATTGCTAATGTTCCACATGTTTCCAGCCTAAAGGAAAGCATCTCATTAAGAGAACAATAAGGATCTAATGAGTGAGCCTTGCTCACAAGTTAGCTGACATTGGGATCATTTAATGCTGTTTATGGTCTTCTACCCACTGGAGAACCCGGAGATGTTGCGCTTTCTCAAGACTACAGTTTGGAGGAAAGTAAATTGAGATGAATCATGGTGAGATGAGATAGTTAAAATGTCATGCTCCATAAGTTTGAATGCATCTTTCAAGTTCTGAACAGTAAAATGCAACTGAACACTGAAACAAGAGAAACAAAGAAAAAGCAGATAACTAACAATACAAATCCACCTTCTGGGGCAAGGATGCTTCATGGGGGAAACCAAAAACGTCTTTTCAGAGCCCTCCTTGAATACACACCAGCATGCACACACACATACACACAGACACACACACAGACACACACACAGAGACACATAGACACAACACACATACACACACACACACACACTTCCTCCCAAATTTCCTTCCTTTGCCACCAGACTTCAATACATTACAGCCTTTAAAACAACAACAACAACAACAAGCCTATTATGGATCAGGGGATGACACGTCAAGCTTATAAGATTCTTAGAGACCAATAAAAAACCATTAGCTTCATTTCTGTTTACAAATGTGAGCCAGTCCCTAGACTGGCTGGGTAAATTATAAATTGTCCCCAGTAAATGTGGGAGCTAGCGATCACATGTTTCTGAGTCAGGATAGGCCTTTTTAGTTTAAGGAGTGGATCGAGGAGAGGCTTGGGGGTTGAGAGGGTGGGATGTGGGAGCTACACGGTTACTTTGCCAATTTCTCCTTCCAGAGCCCCATTCATTTCAAGTATCTATGGACTCGATGACCTCTCTAAGTCAAAACGTCCTAAGAGAAATCCAAGAATGACCTATTTCCTGGAAGCCACCAATCTAAGTGAATAGTCTAACCCTGGGGATAGCTTTTCTTCGTTATGTGAAATCCCAGTTACTCAGACAACTGGGATCCTGAGGGAATTTTCCTTTGATGTCTGTGGTTCTCAATCTTTTTGTGGATCAAGGACCCTTTTGAGAATATAACAAAAACTATGATCCCTCTCTTGAGAAAAATATTGATACACAAAATTTTGCATATGGTTGAGGGATTCATAGCATTCTTCAGATTGCCATAAGTTAAGAACCGCTATTCTAAATACGGTTAAAAACAAACAAACAAACGAACAAAAACAGATGAGCATTGATAGAATTGCCCTTCTTCTTCAATTCAAGAAAGAAAGAAAAAAAAAAAAAACGAAGTTTAGAGATGAGCCAGCCATTGTAACCCCCGAACTCCAAATAATACTGTCCTTAATAATAATATCCAAGTGTCATGTTAGTGGTCTCTATGGACATCTCCAGTCTTCATAATAATTTTTATTTTTATTTAATGTTTGGAGATGTTGTAAAAAGTGACTACTGTTTCAAAATGTGACCTCTGTGAGGTTTAAAACCTACTGAATCAGATGAGATATGAAAGCGTTCAATATAATGTATGACTTAAAGCTATGTTTTTTAAACTTTAATAGGAAATGTCTGACTCTTAGATCACTGTTTCTAAAGCCTGGCAGACAGAAACATGTCTTTTAAAAAGGTCTAATTTATATACCAAATAGAGATCTAGCAGGTAGAAATGATGTCTTTCCTTTTTACCTCATGCCAACTAGAATCTTTCATCAGCTTTGAATACACCTCAGCTCCAGCAATATTTTAGCAATGCTAACTCATCTCATGTATTTTCAAAAATGTTTCAAGTACTGTGCTAGACAGTGGGATACTAAGATAAGCAAATCACGGTCTTTGTCCTTGGGAGGCTTATAGTATTGTGGGAGGACGGGTGTGTGTGGACACTCATGCAGCTACTGTGGTGGCTCAGACACCATCCATTCCCTTCTTCCTCCCTCCTGGCAGAATTCTTTTTTTTTTTTTTTTTTTTTTTGGTCTCACTGTGTCACCCAGGCTGGAATACAGTGGCATAATCTTGGCTCACTGTAATCTCCACCTCTCAGGCTCACCTCCCACCTCAGCCTCCTGAATAGCTGGGACTACAGGTGTGCACCACTACAACTGGCTAATTTTTGTATTTCTTTTTTTGTAGAGACGGGTTTCACCATCTTGCCCAGGCTGGTCTTGAACTCCTGAGTTCAAGCAATCCACTTATCTTACCTTCCAAAGTGCTGGTATTACAGG